TCAAACCTTCTCGCGAAAGCAGTTTGCACTCTATATTGTTAGTAATGTCATACAACTTGATAACAGAAATGATGAGGATCAAATGAGCGATAAGGAGACCAGAAAATCTTGAAATGATAAAGTTATGAATCCACACATAATTTTGAAGTTTTTTTTTTTTTTTAATATTTTCTTCTTGTACGAATCCAAAGATTCTTATAGTATTTGTTCCCCTCTTAAAAGTTACGGGCTTCTTGTAAACACAATAGCAATGTGATATAGTTCAAAGTTCGAATGGGTTTAAAAAAATTGTTAATGAATGAGTTGATATCATTTTGAGTGGCTTACTTCGATTGTTTTTTCAATGCTATACATGTGTAATCATAATGAATTAATAACCATCATAGTCACAAATTCGAGCTTCGAAAAAGTAGTAGAGAACCTAATATAATGGATTAAATTCAAATTAAACTCTAAATAATTGGTAATATTTTATTCAATTCAAACACCAAAATGGACTTCCTCGTTTTTCCATTTTGGATATACACTGGAACACAGATTAAAATTTTGAGGACTGAAAAAGCACGTTTCCCAAAAATTCAATGAGCACGATTGGGTAACTCAAACGATCCTAACTTTTCTCCAAAAGGCATAGTTAGAAATTGAGCCAATAGGTATGAACATTAAATACAAGATAATAAGTAAGATAAAAATAACAATCACAAGAACACAATTTATGTGGAAACTCAAGGCAGAAAAAATCACGGATAGAGATTGAGAATCTACTATATCGAAAGTATGGATTTACAATATATTATGCTATATCAATCTAGACCCACTTGGATCACTATCTGAATCGATCAAATAAATAACAGCACATATTTATAATACAAGAATTCTTGATATAATTATATTATAATAGATAAAATCAATAACAGAGTATTTGAGTTAAAATAGAAGTCCAAGAATTGTCAAATACGTCTTTGGCTTCTTCAATACTTTTCCAAAACACATTACCAACTCTCCATAGATTTCTCGGTAAAATTTGGATCACAACCGAACTCTTAACGGATATTGATAAATATAAGAGAAAATTCGTCCTCATCATTTTTACAATCTCGTACACAACCTTTTTAAGGACAACTAACGGACTATTTGGATGGAAATCATTGGGGATTGGTTGATTGAGATTGTATTTTAAAAAAATATATATAGAGAGAATAATTGTAATTTATCCTAAATAAAAAAGTGAAGTGGAAAGCCTTTCAAACTCCACCCTCCAAACTCTCCTCATTGGATCCAAACTCCTGAATCCACTCCGATTTTCATCAATTTCTCTCTCAAATCTCAAAAGTTCAGCGTATATTAATAGAGCATATGATGGTGATGGTATATATAAGCAGAAGGAACTGTAGAGTGTAGTTTAGTTTCGAGTGATCATCCATAAATGGAAGAATCAATGAAAGAGAAGAAGCAGGTTGAACCGGACTGTATGAGAGAATGCATGAGGAAGCTGTCGCTTTGGTACACCAAAACCTTCAATCCACTCCTCACCCACGATGATCTCAACCCCATTATGGCCACCCTTGGCTTCGTCCCTTCCCTCGTCTCCGTTCCCGTCCACACCACTGAGATTGATCATCAATTTGAATTACACTCCACACAACCCACCTTTACCGCTCCCTGGATTGAGTACTTGCATTGTTCCAGTGGCCTGATTTCCGATTTTCCGCCGCCTAGGCCACGTCTCCCCTATTCGAGGATTGATGGTCTCCACATCTACACCTACAGGGCCTTTCTCGATGCCCTCAACTTCTATCTCCGCATGCCCAATCTCTCTGATCTCTTTCACGTTCGGTATACTTCATACTTTTACAATGTCGTAATAATTTGAAATTTTAATTAGCTTATCAATTAGTATCATGTGTTGTTGTAATTTCGTCCGATGCTTCTTTCTTTTCTGAATATTGTTGCGTTCTATATTTATCTAATGTAACGTCCACCTGTGTTACTATTTAATCTAGTTTAATTTCTACCTATGTTATGTAGAATAATTGTCTTGAATGAGTGTTTTTGCGGAAGCAGGAGTAATATAATCATTCAAACATAAAGGTTATGACTGAATGATGCACAGAACCTTAAAAACCTTGGACTATATGGATTTCTACGTGGGCGACTTTCCAAGAAAAAAAACTATTTGAAAATTATCCCAATTTCCCCTTAGTTTTCTTTCTTATATACTCTGTTTCTCTAGTGGACAATATTCTCAGTTCATTAAATAATTTGGGTAATCATTGCATAAAGTACTTATGATATTTGATATATAAAAATTTAACAAATAAATGCCATTCATTTCTTTTATTTATTGTATGCATACAGCACCAGATGATCCCACAAGGCTGGTTTGACTTATTCCCCAGTGTGGATATGTTATTTTTAGCTGCATATCTTCCTCAGTTTTTTCTAAGTCTTTTCTGTAAAGTCAAGTGGAATTTACATATCCTTTTCTAAAAGGGAAAATGTTAACTCAGCAAGCTCCACCTCTGATATCTCAAATTCATTGGGAACTATAGCTGTTATGAGAAACTTAGAGGTACCAAAAGTAAGAAAGTACTCTTGCATAAACACCCTTCATACATGGTAGAAATTTTCCATCAAGATTAGTGAAGGCTAATAAATTTTTAATTAGTAATTGAGTATCATCAAAATGATACTTACTGCATGTTTGTGTACATGTGTTGTACCAGAACTGGATAGAGAGATTTTCCTTTATGCTTGCAAGTTATGGCACCAAAAATTGTTCTCTTTGGAATGTCGAGTTATACATGGTCCCCATGAGATGGAGCGTGTTGTGTTGGAAAAGGAAAAGAAATGGCTGTGAGATTCGACGCCTCAAACTTTTTATTCACTCTGGAAAATATGGAGTAGGAATGGAAAAAACCAAATTGAACCTCTGAAGTACGATTGGCTAAGTCGTAGGTTTTATCCATCTGGTGTTTAGCGGCAGTTCATGCATGAGCATCTGAAAATTTGTTAAGTTATAAGCTCGATGAAGTCATTGTCGTTCCTGGATTTTCTTTTCCTCTTTGATCAACCACTTGAGTTTCTTTTTTCCTCTTTAAATTTTGTTGGCTAATAATTTACTGTTAACTTTAATAGATAATCAGTGGATTTTCTAAAATTTATCATATTGGAAGTGATACTCGTAGTCCTGGCTGAGTGTTTGTAACTAAGAAATGGGGATTCTGTTCCTGCTAGCTTAACATAAAGAATTTGTTATCAAGGTGACTTTCAACAATAAAATGAAGTTGTGCATAAATCTCTTGTTATTTCAGTTATGTCGGTCTAGATTAGACAGCTTTAATCCTGCTACTGTTTCTAAAGAATTTATGCATATTGTGTGTTTATTTTGTGAGCTGAGGGGGAGTTCCGAGTTAGTGATAGCGATTCGAAGTTATTGCAAGATGTGAATTGACAGGGTATGTGTTAAAGGTATTCTTATGATAATGAGTTCACTCCACTTGTTCTCTTATTTTTTGTTTTTTCTTTCATCCATAGACCAAATATAATCAATAATTGCCTCCAATCATGCCATTTACTCTGTGCTTCTTTTTTATTAAAATGGTCTCTTGTAATCGTACTTAGAATCACTAAATAGTCAAGATAGAAAATAGGTCTTGATAAATCTTTATCCTTAAGTACTACAAAATTTTCAGATCTACTTTCTCTACTTTTAGTTGCAGACTTTGTTGTATGTTTATTGAGTACTTTGAGAATTTGGAATTTTTTAATTCGCTTTTATTTCAGGGGAATGCCGCTCCACCAAGTTCATGATCGAGGCCAGAAGTGGTGGTGTATGGGAGAAGATGATAGTATCTTTGTCTATGGAGAAGGGACATTGGATCAAGCTGCATATGATTCCTATTGTGTGGAAAAGAATGGCATAAACTACAACAACAGTAACAATGTTCGCAATTCTATCGCAATCCGAGACAAAGGAAAATCTACCCAGAGCATCCGCATGGTTCCACTGAAAGATATCATAGGGTTATCCTTATAAATGGTAACTATAAGATAAGACTTGATTCGTAAAACGGATCATAGTCGATATGGCTCCATTCATTTTACAACATTGAACATGTTCGTTGTATGTGTTCCAAAGAAATATATGTTGGCTTTGGACACATCAAAACTTGTGACTCCATTAGTTAGAGCATTTGCCATTGGCTTTTCCTTTATGTTGACTATTTTTTAAGAATTTTTGTTTCGAGACTTGGTTTTCCCATGCTAGCATGAGTACCGGCTCTTACCAACCTTAGCGGCAACTTCAGAATTCGTCAAAGCATTTGTCATTGGCTTTTCATCATTGTTGGTCATTTTTTTGAGAATTCCCGTCTTCAGACTCAGTTTTCCCAGGCTAGCATGAGTATTTGGCTCCTACCAATCTTAGTAGCAATTTTAGAACAATTTTGGACAGACGAGATTAAAAGAAGGCATAAGAATTATTTTTAGCGGTTGCTTTAGTAAAATATTTATTTACTTTTTTGAACCAGAGTTGAACAAATTTGTTTTCTGGTTCAAAACTACTTATGGGACTGCAATAGGCTACCATCCTCGTATACCATTACCAAACCTAAAGCTTTGTGTAGTGCAGAGTTCATTTGTTTTCAGTCACATTTGATCCAAAAAGTATCATTCTTAAAATTCTCTTATGTAATATAGAACAATACTCGTTCTAGTAATTCTCATATAACATTGGAAAATGATGTCTAGAATTTCATTGAAATTTCAATCCTTCGATGAAATCGAAAAATGTGAATACACAAGGGTACAAAAGAATAACCAATAAACAAAGAGAGACCAATCCAATTTCTTGCAATCTTAGTTTTACCCTCTAAAAAGAATTTATCAGGAACGAAAACATGTAAAATAAGAACAGTTCTGTCTCCCTGGCTTGGTTAGAAGGTTCACTGTTATAATGGCTATATGCACCAGTCCGCGACTTATTGGAGATAGGAACCTCAAGATGAAGCCTTAGACACATCATTACTGGACCTGTTGTACTTCATATCGCTCTTGACGAGTTGGCCAGCAGCAAGTGCTGACATGAGAGAGAGCTCAGCAGCAAGAACGACCCCAGCTACAATGGTAGCTAACTGCCTTGAGTTTGATCCTGGAGCCTCCTTACTGGCTCTCTTCACTCCAAGCAGATTCAGGCAAGCTGACTGAGAGGCCAGTTGTGTCCCACCTCCAACTGTACCGACCTAAAAGAACCCAACAACAGCAAAATTAGCCATGAATCTCTTTTTTTTATCTTTTAAGATGTTACTCACACCCTAAGACGACCATCTTCTTAAAAAATGATTCACTAATGAAATTTACCTCAATAGAAGGCATTGTTACAGATACATGAAGGTCCTTTCCATCGTTGACAGCTTCCATCAGGGTGATGCAGTGAGAACTCTCCACATTTTGTGCAGGATCTTGGCCAGTGGCAATACATATAAGAGAGACAATATTGCTGGCATGGGCATTGAAGCCACCCAGCAATATCCATGACCTGATAGAGAAGCTAGAGGTAACTATCCATGGAGAATTTCAAACTCAATTTGTTGTTTTAAGTTTGACATTAATATGCTCTGGAATTTTTAGGGGATTCTATCCATCTTTTTTGTTCATCAGCATAGAACTGTAATAGGACTTAGTCTGAATCTCAAGATTGTCTGGTTGGCTCACTAACCTAGAAAAGATGTTTGCTTTGAGTCATATTCTGTGCTTTTATGTAGAAGAATTGCTAGATTTTGTATTTGGTTCTTCTTTTACTGTTACTTAAAGCAAAGAAAAATCAAGTTTTAAGTTTTATATTTTTTGAAATTTTGCTTTTATAGACCTTATCTATGAAGTGAAACCCCAACTAGCAGTGCCAGGTTCTAGCAAACTGCAATAATTAAGGAGAAACGAACTGAGAAAAACAAGATATCTACCCGTGAGATAGAGAAGACATTAAATACTATGAAGAACATTGTTTATGTTGTGCACTTCAGTGAGCGTTTTTGTTGAACTCGCTCCAATGAGTTGAAAGCATCATCAGTTTGTGAAGTGCTGCCAACAAGTTACTTAATCCTTTTGGGTTTTCCCAGCTATGATGTAATCTGTCTGTGATACAAAGTGTCAAGGTGTCAAGTTTAGCCACAATTACCTTGCGATGCTATTGATGTAGGATTACAAAAGGTTTGCACTCAAGCATGGGCAACAAACACACAACACATGTAATACATAACAAAATTTCCAGGAAGGAGCTTGATATGAAAATCGATGCGCTAATATAGGATGAAACACACAATTTATCACATAGAAATTGTTGTCACATATAATGTATGCGAATACTTGACCTTCCATACACTCAGAAACTTAACCCTATCAAGTAAAGATACTTGTGAACGAGTAAAATTGTTCGTCTAAACTTAAGAGATAATTACACTTGACCTTAATGTGTTGGGATACTTGTAATCGATTAATGCTTCACACTTCAAAGTATGAGGGAAAATGTTGTTAGACCATCAATTGATCAACAGAGTGATCAACTAATATATTGTTGGAAAATAATCTTGATAAGTTAAATTTGTGCTTTTGGTATTATTTATGTATTGAGTTACGTGACATTATGAATTGCGCTTGTGAATTCATATACATGATATATATACATGAATATTTTTAGGACGGAGAATGTAATAATTGTTGGTACATGCACTATATTGATCGTGATCTTAGTCATTTTATGAGACAATATAATTTATTGAATATTAGTTTGTTCATCATACAATGTAGCATAATTTATGATTACAAACAGTTGAGCATGTGAAACCCTAACTAGAAGGGTAAATAGAAATAAAAAGAGAGATCACATCACTACAATATAAAAAAGAGGAGAGTTTGTTAATATTCATGAGACATCATCCTTATCTCATGCTGATGTCATATATATATGTTTATGAAATGAATTATTTAGTGTCATTTTCATTTATATTTACATTTCATCTATTTACATTT